TATTAAAAGCTTTTAAATAGACTACCTTTCTGACAATTGATAATTGTTACTAATATTTGTTTATTTCATAATTACATAAAGGGTATTACACATAGCTGTCTCTAATTTTGAATTGATGGGCTAGAAGAAGGAATATAGTCAACAAAATTACCCGCCAACTCATGGGTTACTCATGTGTAGACGAATAGTCGGATTTTAACTGTCACTTTTATATAACATCCACACTTTTATAGCGTACTTTGTTTGTGTGACAACGGTTTGCGTACCGTTGTTCTTCGGGGTTCATTATGTGGGCAAATAAACGATTGACCCCTGCACGGTCTTTAAAGAGTTAGCCATGTTTTCTTAGTATAAAATCCTATTTTTATCTGAAAATATTAATAAAAGTTCCATAAATTAATATAATAACTTTAAATTTGTTTTGTTGTTAAGTAGAAAGCCACACAAAGGGTTATCAGCGCTGTGCCCAGCGTTATAAGCCTCTAGATTTAACGTTGAGCCTTTAGGGTGTCAAAGATAACAACTCTGCATCCTAGAACTATTAGATGTGTGGTAGGTGCTGCAGATGTATACAAGACATCCTGGAAGTACTAGGTGTGTAGTACGTTCTGCAGATTTATACAACAAAATGGTGAAACTTACATCCTGGAACTACTAGGTGTGTGGTAGGTGCTGCAGATTTATACAACAAAGTGGTGAAACTTACATCCTGGAACTATTAGGTATGTGGTAGGTGCTGCAGATGTATACAAGACATCCTGGAACTACTAGGTGTGTGGTAGGTTGCTGCAGCTGTATACAAGACATCCTGGAACTACTAGGTGTGTGGTAGGTGCTGCAGATGTATACAAGACATCCTGGAACTACTAGGTGTGTGGTAGGTGCTGCAGATGTATACAAGACATCCTGGAACTATTAGGTGTGTGGTAGGTTCTGCAGTTTTATACATTTTCTATTTATTAAATGTTATCTGTTTAAAGCTACATAATGAGTTATCTGTGCTGTGTCAACCTCAGGGATGAAAACTCAAATTCTGACGTTATAAAATATTAAATTAAGAGATAATCTTATGATTTTTTATCTATTCTTAGCTATATATTTTAGCAAATTCTGAATGTACAAAATTGTTCAAAATATGGGTACTATCAAGAATATTTAAAATTCCGTTTTTATTGTTAGCAGTTCAGTTCAATTATTTAAAACTAAGATGCTGAGCAGTTCTTTAGCTATTATAATGAATATTATCATGTCCTAGCAATATTAGCGGAAAGGTATTGATTATTTTCTATGTATTGTCATTATAGATATATATATATATATATATATATATATAAATTTGAAAAGTAATAAGAAGTGGTTAGAATTCGAACATGGTAACCTTTTTACCAAACACATGCTTTAACTAAGCCAATAAGTATATTAACTCCTCCCCGAGTCTCAGTTTTCACTTCTTTAGATAAATTTATAAAATTATGGGTCAGTGCACTCTCTTAAATGCACTTTTCAATTAATGTAAACTTATTATATAATATTTCATCCATTAGAACAAGTAATGTACCTTTATAAAACTGGCTTGGAAACTTTTTAGAACATCTGAGTCTCCTTTCAGAAGCAAAAATAATAGATATTTTGTAATTATTATTAAACAGTGATACATTTTCCTGTGATACACACAATAATTTATTAAATCAATATTAACTTTCAATCAGAGAAAACTATCTATTAACACCGAAACTAAAAATAAACCTGGTAATGAGCATAATTAATCAAAAAAAATGTTTCTTACATTTTTACTTATAAAGATTAGAATGCCATGTTGGGTGCTCTCGCTGTTAACGACTTTTTCGGCCGTAAACCCAATAATATCTCATGAAGTTCAACCAGCTTTGGAGATTTAGGTTAGTGTTTAATATATGTATTAAGCTAACAGTCTCTATAATAAAAGTAAAAATAATAATAAATGAAGTTACAACTAATAAAAACAGATATAAATTAACAATTCTAACCAATACCGATCCTGAAAGTAACAATAAAGAAATAATAAAGTATATATTATTTACTGAACACACTAGCAGCTGTTGGCTTTAAGTATTGTCGTAAATTTGATGTTTGTTGAACAACCTAACATCCGTATAACTGGGTATAAGTTGAATTTTCACAACCCTTCCTAAAAATGTCTCGTGCCCAATGAAAACCCATTATATAGCTCCAACAGTGTAACTTTAGAATAGCGCGACATCTGACGTAAATTACTACGGCATATGTTACTGTTAAAATGTTGAGTCGAATAGCACGACATTACCAAGAATACAAACAAAAAATAATATTTATGAAGATACGAGATAACAAGTAGAGAATTAAATAGCAAATTGACCAGTTATAGTACCCAATGAAATTAAATTGCTAAACGTTTACCCGCAATATCGCGGTTCGAACACCGGACCTTCCGATTTGCAATTCGGCACGCTAGCATTGGGCTACTTTCAGCCTTTAATTTTTATGTTCAAAAATATCTACTGTAAATAAATTTAAATAAAATAACGACAGCGCACAGCCAACCGTGTTATCATTCGTTTCATCACGATGTAAAAGAAAATCCTAAATATCTATGAAAAAAAAAGTATTAACACTGATTACATTTCTTCCATTCTCGGCATGCAGCAGTAACGATTTACGAAATCATCAGAAAAATAATAAAAAAAACTGACTTCCTGTTTATAAATTGAATTAAGATGAAAAGAGGCTTGACGTAAAAAACAAAAACAAAAAAGAAAAGAAAAAATGCATTGTTTGCTTCAAAGTACAATACTATGTAAGAGGTTGTATGCGCTTTGTCCCTCTCGGGTATAAAAACCTCGATTTTAGGACACATGTTACTCTTAAGGTGTGGAATCAAATAGCAAGACGTTAGGAAGAGTATAGCCAAGATCTAATTATTTACGAAGGTATAAGATAATTAATACGGAATTCAATGAATATCTGAATCGTACATTGAATAGTTAGAATATTGGTTCTGTAATTAGAATATAAAATTCTTATAGGTAATACAAGGAAAACGATATGTTAAACATACTATTAGGTATGTCTAACACAACCATTGGGTCTGGCATGACCACGTGGTTAGGGCGCTCTACCCGCAATCTGAGGTTCACGGGTTCAAATTTTCGTCCCAGCAAATATGCTCGCCCTTTCAGCCGTGGGAGCGCTATAATGTGACGGTCAATCCCACTGTTCGTTGGTAAAAGAATAACTAACAGTTGGCGATGGGTGGTTGACGACTAGCTGCTTTCCCTCTAGTCTTTCACTACTAACTTAGGGACAGCCAGCGCAGATAGATAGATAGCCCTTATGCAGCTCTGCACGAAATTCAAAACAAACCAAAACCACAACCACCCTCACTTTAATTAACCTCTGTTATGTAACAAATCCCATGGAGCGGGTAACACAATTAAAGTTAAATCTTCTGTAAAAGCGGAGATGTAAATAACGAAAGCCTCGAAAAAGTTCAATGATAATAATAAGACAGGAAAGTTACAACAATCCAATATATATAGTACATAGGACAGCCCTCTAGACATAACAACAACCGATATCCGATTGCCACAACCTCACCATGGCTAAAACATTCCACTGCTATATATATTTCTGCAACCATTGGATCGCTTTAAAAGTTTCATTTTATTTACAAACTATTTCGTGTCCTTACCATTCTTAGTAAATAACTTTATATTTAACAAATAAGTAAAGAAATGTACACGTACACATGTACAGTTGGCAGTAATAAACTGATGAAATCAAGTACATCATAGGAAAATTATTTTCTCAATAGAAAATTATTTGACATTTGCCGTTCTATCCGAGCTTGTCCTAGTAGTTACAACGCCGAACTGAAACTCGGAGGGTCCATGGTTCGCGTAATTTTGCCTCAAAATCTCACTACATTGGAGTCGTAGGTGCGTTACAGTAGTGACAGCTAAATTCCACTGTTCTAATAGAGTAGCTCGTGATTTTTCGGTGAGTGATGTCGCATAGCTGCCTTTCTTCTAGTCTATGAGTTGAAAATTAGGGACGGCTGACGCAGATAGCCCTCGTGTAGCTTTTCTCTCTTATCCGAAACTAGCAAACACACAAACTTTAATAATCCTTTATCTGTCAAAACTTCTGAAAACAAAGTTGTAAAATGTGGACTACAGAATGCATAGTAGCTTCTCACAGCTAAAGAAGATTATTCCAACCTGAACCTAAACATGAAATAAGATTCTGTATCAGAAGCCAGAACTTCAGACAGTCAGAGGTTTTCAAGGAATAGAAAAGCAACATCTTTTCATTTTCATTTTTAAAAACCCTAAACATCAAAGTTCTGTATTTTAGAGAGGGTTTTTTTATTCTATTTTTTAGTTTATACTGACTCGATGTTTTTGTTTCTTATGCCTCAAAACGTAATGTGAATAAAAAAAAAGTCAAATCAAATATCAAAGAAACTAGGCTTGTTTGATCGAACTTCTTACATTCTAGTACTAATATTATTTTGTCCTCTGTTTTGAACTTAAAAGAAAACATATGGATTAAAAATTAAAAATCATGTAGTTGAAATATTTATGTAGACTACTTTCTGTAGACATATATTTTCCAACTTATGACTGGAAACATTTTTTTTCTCAGTTGCTATAAGTATATTTCTATCTCTACTTTACCATATTGCTAGAACCATATTGTTACCACATTGTCGTTCACACAAGTAAAAACTGGGATATTCCTTCTGAACAGAGTATCTTATGAAGTAACTGGAGGTATTTTTACGTTTTTTTTTTAATTATTTATTGCAAGCTGTATATTGATCAGTGTTCTGTGAAAGCATCTGTAACTGGAACTCTCTTCATTTCTAAACGACTTCATATGGAGTTCACTGCTCGAGTCATGTGACCACATCACGTGACTAACGCCTACTGCTTGAAAGGAAACTGACTTCGGATTCAGAGAGTTGGCTAAAGAACTCCTGGTCGGTGGTTTCACTGCGCGTTGGCAGTAGCGTAGGTCTATCTCACTCATAGACAAATGTTTCGTAAAGCTAGTCTCTTGTGATGACACTGATAGTGAATTTTGAAATAAAGTTAGAATTAATTTCTTAAACGTCATTTATAAGTAACATTTTACGCAAGGAGATATTATCTAATTAATATATAAATATATCTTCGTATATAGAAGAAGAAAAAAAACTACTACAAAATATAAAGAGGAAAACGAAGTTTAATTTAACACATCAGTCAACAATGAAAGTGAATAGTTTAGCCGGAACTGTCAAATTAAGTCTACTGAGTGTAATATATCTATGTCTAAGCCTTTCTATTCTGGGTCGCCCGAGTTTAACTTCTGAAGGTAAGCTTTTACTTTTCTAACATTAACCTGTGTTTAAGAAGTAAGTCCGATATTTACTTTTGTCATTTGTCAATAAACAATAAACAAATTAACATAACCTTGTGTATCTAATTTGTGATGAGTTAAACATACATTTATGAAATATACTTTTGACTTTTTTTGGCAATATTAATATATTTATCAGCTGTTTAACATAGGCCTTATGTTAATTAGATTGTTGATACTCTCAAGACAATAGTGTCCTAATTGCACATATGAAAATGTTTTGTTTTTTTTCTTATCCCTTAAATAATTTTAAAAATTGCTTGTTCAATGAGATTTGAGATTCGTATTCAGCATGTCCGGGATGTTAATTCGTGTAATAGGCTCATAAGTATAAGTACTTTTTTCTTGTCATCAAGGGGAGAAAGTAATTTTATGATGACTTTAATCGATTACTTTTTTCTTCGTTGTTATGGCTACGTAACAGTACTATATTGCATCAGATTAGAGGGATAATACATTTTTCCTTTGCACGTGCTTCTTTGGAAAGGATACGAGGCTTATATTTTGATTTATTTGTTGTATCTGTATGTCCTGCAAATATTAAAAGAAAATTAGCCTTGGTCATACATTGTTTAAAGAATTTCTTATGTATTTATGTATATATATTTGTGTACAAACATGAAACCTTTACTGTTACATTTGTAAATAGCCCCTGTATAGCAGGCTTTCGTGACCTGCTATTTAGGTTTGATTTATAGTGTAACAAATATTTACATTAATATTACAGTAAACAAGAACAGTGTTTCCCCGCCTCACCCGTATCTATTTCATTAATTCTCCTGATTCTAATCGGCTCGATGTTCATTCTGGTAGCCGCGAGTTGTTATTTCTAGGTCTCTAGTTAATGAATATATAATAAAAAAAGCAAATCTTAATGAACTAAACATATTTTTTGGTAAATAAAGGTTAAGTAACACTCTCATCTCTGGCCAGAACTCAATTAAATGTTTTCTACATGCATGTTCTGATAAAGTAGATATTTATTTGTATCCACTATACTTTTATCTCTTTATGCTGCTCCAAAAATAGAATTATATATATTTATCCTACTCAAGTGTAATCACAACCCCTATAGATTGAAACTCTCTTTCTCTTAAAACGTATTGTATAAATAATCTTTTCCAATATATGTATATAGTAACGTGCTTTACTAAAAACCAACAGTGGGCGTCGTTGTTCTTTAGTATTGCAGTCATCCAATCTGTTATTAGTGTTGGATATTAACGTTTCTGAGTTTTGGGTTGGTCAGATGACCTGCTAGGTCTATATACCAATAATTAAATAATTTGTCTATGGCGTGGCTCAATGGCTAAAGTGCCGGCTTTTAGAGCTGAGAGTTCATGGTTCACGTCCCCTTACGACCAAAAACAAAACAAAATGGGCTCAACATTTGTGGCAGTGGGTACGTTATATGAATGATAGCCAAATCCAAACTCTTCAGTCTGAAAACAGTAGCCCAAAAGTTGGCTGTTGACTAACTTTCTTCCGACATGTGGCTTTGCCCGAAATGGAACAAAACAATCAAACAAATTTATTAATGTGGCTATCTGTGCTGTGTCCATTGTGTAACTTTGTGCTTAACAACAAGCAAACAAAATGTGAACTTGACTGTAGCACACACGTATTCATGACTTTATTTTACGCTCTTAGATAATTTGGTGTGATATGATTTTGAAGTTTTAATTTCGCATTCGCGTGAAGATGTAGTGGATGAGCTTTAAGAGTCTTCCTTGCAAAGTCAGAGCTGCTGTTTGCATAATGGTATACGTATTAGCTGATATAAACTACCAAGTTATATTATAAGGTATATCACCTTTTGAAATATTTAGGTTATTTCTTCTTCTTGCTGAGGAAACGGAAACACGAATGTCATTAAATATATTTATTGTAATGCGTTTACAATCTTACTTGTTCAAAACTCCTGTTACTAATGGTGTAATTACAAGTTATAATAGTAAAACAGCATCAAACATCTACATTTCTCATTCATACATCCTACTCATAGTCACTGACGTAAACAAATATCGTTTGTGTAACACGAAACATATTAGCTCACAATACGAAACAAAACCAAAACCTATGAGTTCAAGAAAAGGAGCTTTATAAGTTTTTATCTGTGGAAGTCACTTGGCGTGGTTTCCTTGTAATACGTACGTTTAAGCTCTGTCGATCCTGCAGAATATTTGTGGATGTCCATCCAACTTCACCACTCAGAGTTTTCGAATCCTTAGTTTTACATACATTTTGAACAGATATTATTGATTGAGCTGCATATAGAGTCAAATATAGAGGGTTTTTTTTGCGAATAATATAGGTCGCATTATTCGACTAAACAAAGAATCTCAAAGACTTGAAAGTATTCAAAGGGTATTTTTCAGTTTGTTCCTGAGAAAGAAAAACTTATTTACCGAATTCGCTTAGACTATAAGGTTTCTTTAGTTGTACTTTATACATGTTACGTCCTACCAACATCACAACAACAGAATTACAACTTCACGAAGGCCACTTTCGAAATTTAGTCTTTATGTGTTTGGTGGCATTTTATAAGCTCTAGAGTCCATATCTGTAACATTCTCATAAGTCACTTTATATCCTGGCACAAATATTTATTTATTTGTTGTTTGTAGGTAAGCACAAAGCTACACAAACGGCTGTCCACCACGGGTATCGAAACCCGGTTTCTAGCGTTGTAAGTCCGCAGACATACCGCTGTACCACTGGGGGTCAGCATTAAGATATCTCATACCTCATTATTTAGCCTAAAAGCATCTTTTCTGGCTCTGAAGACATATTTTGATTGTGAAACAAGTTTATAATCAGCAACAAACAACAACTTATAATTATGATTTTATAACGGCTTGATAAAACTATAGTATAACGAATTAAAACTCACATCTCTCAAAGCCCATAAGATAAGGTTTTCTACTATCTTTTTAAAACGTATTTTGTGACATACTTTGAATTTTATTATATCACACAGCAAAAGATTTAACACTACCTGGTTTGTTTGTTTATTGTTAAGCAAAGCTACAAAATGGGCTATCTGTGCTGTGCCCACCACGAGTATTGAAACCTGGTTTGTAGCGGTGTGAGCCCTAAGACTTACCGCTGAGCCACTGGGAGCATTTAAAACGTTGTTTTTGTTTGTTTTAGACCAAAACCACGATGGACTAGCTACTGTGTCCATCGCGGGGAACCGAACCCCGGGTTATAGTGTTGTAAATCAGTAAACTTACACCTGTCCCATCGAGGGACCGCTACCTGGACTCCACAACTGGAGGGAAGAGAGTTCTGTTTTGACCGATGATAAACTCATCTAGTGTGTAAATAAATCAATTAATATTTTCAATTATTCACATTTCGAAAAGTTTTGCTTTAATTCGTAGGTGATTTGACTTGACCACGGAGTATCCTTACGAGGATAACAATGTAAATTAAACCTTTTTCCTCAAACGCTCTAAAGAATCATTAAAAATAATAGTAAAATATCGTGGCAAAAACATCATGCTGTTTTCAGAGCTCTTGCTTAGAAACAACCGTAAAAGCGACTGAGCCCATCATAAAATATAACTAATGTAAGGAAACGAATTTAATTGTTTCCAGCCCATATATCTCCATGACAAACTTAATGGCATAAACACAATTACGTTTTGTTCACTTCGATACCGCATATCTTTAAGAAGGCGAATTCTTTAAATTAATTAGACCATCCTTAGACTTACAACATAATAACTTTCGAGGCACAGCTTTAACAGTCTTATGTTTCAAAGTGGCTTTATGCTGATTTCGGGATAGAGAAAGACGAGCACACATACCTCTACACAGATATATATAAATTTTTCCATCAGAAATATTATCTTTTGAAATAAGCAAACTCCTTAGCGATATTACTGGTACTTGAAAATAAGTACAAAGCCCAATTTATCAATCGATTCACCACTCGTCACTGAGACATACCGGTTTCGAGGAGTTCTACCCCTCATCAGTAATCCTGAACAGGGGAATCTCGAGAGATTGTTGTTGTTTGAAGTTAAGCACAAAGCTACACAATGGGCTATCTGTGCTCTGCCCTCCACGGGTATCGAAACCCGGTTTCTAGCGTTGTAAATCCGCAGACATACCACTGTGCTACTGGGGGGGGGGGGGCATATCGAAAAAACAGGGCTAGGTTCACTTTGGTAACTAAAAAGACAACCCAAGTCACTATACATATAGTATTGGTAATTGTAATACAAAGTATATAGTACTATTTTTCTCATATACAGCTGACTTTTTTATTTGTTTGTTTTTAAGCACAATGCTACAGATAGCCTATCGGAATTTTGCCTACCACGGGTATCGAAGTCTGATTTCTAGCGCTACAAGCCTCCAGACGTAGCGCTGAGTCACCGAGATGCCATACACGAATGCTCATCATAATCATAGAAGCCAAGTGTCGGTCGGTCAGTCAGTCGGTCACAATCGATTTCACCAAATTTCATGAATTACTAGAGTCCAAATCCACTTTTTCTCCTATAATACTTCCTCTTTTCACTGCCAGTTCCCATTCTAGTTGAATCCAGTACCTAACATGAGCGTAAATAGCTCCTAAATTTTAAAACGCATTGCTACACAAAGGGTCGTATGAGTTTTCTCCCCACGGGTATCGAACCCCGATTTTTAGCGAAAAAGTCCACAAGCTTATCGCTCATCCACCAGCGAACAAAAAAAACAAGATATAGAAGAAATAAAGTTTAAATTCTTCCATCCTGCCAAATACACTTCCTAAAGCTACCTAAATGGTAAGTTATCATACATTTTTATGAATTATACGAGAACGTAAACTTCGTAGCATTTAAAATGTACGTATTACTTTCACCATTTTCGTTTCAAAGTTTAATTTCTATATTTTGATAGTTTAAACATAAGCAAATCTTATTTGTCTATTTCATAAAAATATAGATTTTGTTTTAGAA